CGTCCAACGTTGAACAATATAGCATTAATTTTTAATCACTATGCTTGAGATAGCTTCTCTAAACTATTTTTTCTATTTGATCACTATGCTTGAAATTATAAAACTATAATTTCATTAAAGAAGATGTACTTCAAAACAAACTTTAGTTTCTGATATTATCTTTATGTGATTTGTTTATTGTTATATAATCTAGTGTGTTGACGTTTTAGTCACTTAGTATGGGTAAATGCCTAAATCAGTGACTTGAGTTTAATTAAATCAGTTTTATGCCTAATAGTTTTCATTTTATCTTGGTTTAATTTCTTCATCAAGAGGACATGACATTAGTCATATATTACAAATAAGTTGGATTTGGTTTAACTTATGTTCTCTTTAAGTTCTCTATTTTATTGAATTGTAATGTACTGAGATAGATAGATAGAATGTGGATGTATTTAAACACGCTTTCTATTTTTTGTGTTATATCCTTGTAATTCGTCTGTCTCTACTTACGGTTTTTAGTTTAAGAATCAACAATTGTGAATATTACCATTAAGAGCAATTAGTTAAGACTAAAAAATAATAGTGTCTTAATTATATGTTGCAGAGTAACTAACGCTAAAAAATTATTATTCAATTGGAGTAATTGGCACATATAATTAATTGTTCCCTGCTTCCTAGATCAGATCAAAAATTGCAAGTGTTAGTTCTCACATTAATAATTAATTTTTAACTACTGTTTGGGAGTATTTTATGGAAAGGATATTTAAATTGTGGATCTTGTTTTTCCAAGCGTTAATATTTTATTTGGATGAGGTGATATCTTTTTAAAGAGTGATTTTTCAAATTTGTTGGTGTTAGTCCTATCATTATAAGCTTTTTATGTTAGTTCATACATGTATTGCTTAGATAGCAATATTGAAATGTGGGAGCCTGTACAAAACGTTTCTCTCCAAAGGTATGTGCTTTATGGGGATCATAACCGCTGCAAAGTTGAGTTTCTAAGCAATGAGTTTCTAAACAAATTACAACTATCTAGAAAACTGAAATAATTACACCAAAAGTGTAATTTTCACAACAACAAACAATGCAACTAATTAATTGTAAATGCAACCATATTTAATAAAAATATAACAATATTAGATCTAAATATATTTTTTGTACAATTGTTCTTCGGATAAGGCAAACTTTAGGATACAGGTTGTCACCTTTAGGTGCATCTTAGGACTAGTCTCTTGACCAGAGTACTATATATATAGAGAAATTAACCACCTATATATAACTAAAAGTCATCTTCTTTTTCATTATATGACTTTATGATTTTTCCTAATATGATGGTACAAGTCATGACATCCATTTCATCAGCCCCTTTTTTAATTTTTTGTTCCATATTGAAGAATTAATTGCTCCTTATTTTATGCATTTGCTTCCATAATTATTTTACATTCATCAAGGATCCCACTAAAATAGGTAACTGATATTCTGATTATAATCATGCTACTCATGCTCCAACATGTTTACGTGTTGGTCATCGTATGTGGCCTGCACATCCTAGAAGAAGTTGTCGACGGAAACAGAGAGGATGCCACAAGCTAGTAAAACTTAGAGGAACTTTTACTGAAAAAGACTACATTGTAAAAATCAAAAAAGAGGAGATGTTTGTATGGAAATTGTAATAAGATAGAAGATTGAGGGGCTACACTTATATATAGATGAGTTAGCCGGAAGGGTAAGTGACCAACCACCATAGGCATTGGCTATGTTTGGCGGGCATAAGTCCCTGACTTCTAGCTTTTGTACTGTTCAAAAAGTTCCTAAAAGCTTCTAGTTGTGTGTTTGGCATGACAATATTTAAGAGCTTTTCAAAAATTAAAAGATCTTTTTTGAGATGCTACCGGGAGTAGCATCTAAGAAAAGCTAGTGACTTTTAGTATTAATTAATCCTAACAGCTTGTATACCAAACCGAACTAAATCAAACAGTCGGCTTTTTATCAAACAGCTACCACCTTTTCTTTTTAAGATCTTTTCAGTCACTAAAAGCTAACAGCTATTAAAAAGCTCACAAAAGTATCTTTTCAGCTAGTTGTGCCAAACATGCCCATTATCTAAAAGTGGGTGTTGAGATGAAGGAAGCATACAAGAAATCAATGTGGTGCGCTTAGCTGGTGTCCTTTAATTCCAGATCTTTGTGAAGTTTGATGAGTGTATTATTGATAGTTTATATAATGCACTGAATTCCAAATTATGTATTACTAATAGTTTATGTAATGCACTAAATTTGATGATAAAAAAATGTAATGCACTAAATTTATGGAATAATGAAGACGATTTTGTTTAATTTAATGCAAGGAATTAGTTCATTTAATGCATGTAATGCACTTATTGTCCATGTTAATTCATTACATAAACAACTACTAATGCATGAATTACTCACACACTCAATCTTCTTAATCGCCATGCACATTACCAAATTAAGTATAAAAATTAATGTAAGAAAAACAGATTTAATACCTATATTGTATAAGTCAAATAATTGCACAACACAATTCACAAAATATATGTTAAATATCACACTATTTAGTGCATTATATTAGTGCAATATAATAATGCCATCATTAATAATCAGTGCACTCAAAGCAGGATCACTAGAAAAAGAAATTTATCGTCGTTTCTCCAAACCTCTGCTTCACATCGAGTGTTTGCTCTTTCTATTCCCTCTTGTACTTTTGGAAGCACACGATTATAATTTGTAGGTAGAGTATATATTTTGGTTAAATCATTCATTAATTTTGCTCCTAAAACATGGAATCCGCCACACCTACTTTCTCTCAATCTTTATTTATTCATTTGTGGGAGCTTGGATTTTTGCATATCCTAGGACCCACTATATACAAGTATGTTTAAGGTCAATTTTGTCTTTCAATGCTCCTTGATTTTATTAATATAATTGTTTTAATTTCATTAGAGTCACATGTTGGGAAATAAACATACTTGGTCATATTTTGGAAATTGTAATGAATTTTAAGATGTTTTTATTTGGACTGAAATTTACTGGTCTGGTCTGGTTTGGTCTAAATTGGCTATAGTCGGAGCCCACATTGGCGGTAGAGCAATGGCTAGGAGGTAACAAGGCTGCTGAACTATGTCTGAATTGAGTGTCCCCAGCGGCGGCAGAGCTGCGACTAAGACATGAACTCGTCGGTCGTCAGAACTCACCGGCGCAGCTACTCGTCGCAATAGGTCTTCAAAGGTCAGTCGCAAGGGGGTCAAGGTCGCTTTATGGCGTGGGGTAGGTAGGCTCACAGCCGTCGCATCATAGCTCCGGAGCGGCAGGGTACGGCTGCGATGGTCGTTGTCGGCTGCTGGTCGTCGTTGTCGAAGCGAGTCGTAGAAACTGCGCGCAGGTGTCCTTACACTTTTTTGCCGCCTAATTAGGAACGGAAAAAATTGAAGGGGGCGAGCGCTAGGTTAAAACTTTCAAACCTATTAGAGGCGCTTAATAGTTAAAAGCGCCGCGAGCGTCGGTAATATTTTTTAATTTTTATGATTCGAGGCACTTCTTTTACAAGAAGCGCCGCACGCGGGACCAAAGTAAATAATAATAATAATAATAATAATAATAATAATAATAATAATAATAATAATAATGATAATGATAATGATAATAATGATAATGATAATAATAATAATGATAATAATAATAATGATAATGATAATAATAATAATAATAATAATAATAATAATAATAATAATAATAATAATAATAATAATAATAATAATAATAATAATAATAATAATAATAATAATAATAATAATAATAATAATAATAATAATAATAATAATAATAATAATAATTTATACATTACAGGCGCTTATATGTCAAGAAGTGCCGCACGTGTATAAAATTCTTTTTTTTAAAACAAACGAGGCGCTTTTTGTTTAAAGCGCCTCAAATTGACGTTTTTCCACAAGTGTAATTTCCCTCAGAATTGGCGTAACTCCACCCGAAGAGGAAATAGCAGTGTTTTAAATAGCGGTCTGCTACCGCTATAGCGGCCACGGTAGGTACCGCTACCGCTACGGGCCGCTATCAGGGTGTGATTTTCAAATCACAGAAAAATCCCACTACGTCGCCCGCTACAGGCCGCTACCAGCACTTCCGGCAGTACATCACGAACTGGTTGATGTTTAAATATGTAAATGTTGTGTGCATGATGTGAAAAAATACATTAATGGTGATGTATGGAGTGAAACTCTAAATTAAATGTACATTTATGGTAGCAAATATTCATAAATATCTAATTTTTAATTATTAAAACTGAATTAATTATTAATAATGATGATTTAAGTTTAATATCAGTTGACGAAAAAAATGTTGACTTAACAAAACAATTTGGACCGGAAGTGATGTTAGTATGGATTATGCAAGTTGCAATGCATGCATGGTCCACTTCTTAAAATTTGATTGTGAAAGGACAACAATTTTTCATATAAGTAATACTTCGTACATTTTCGGGATGGAGGAGTATATCTTTTTATTGAAAATTATTTATAATATACAAATGAAATAATACTACCTCCATTCCATAATGGTTGTCTACTTTCAATTTGGCACGATTATTAATAAAGTGGTTGAAAAGTAAAAGTTATGGTTGAGATTTGAGTAGAATAAAGTGAATTGATAAGAACCACATATTTCATCCAAAAAAGGAAACAAGACATTCATTTTGGGACAACCCAAAAAGGAAAGTAGGACAACCAAAATCAGACGGAGGGAGTAATATTCTTTGTAGGTGGTGACAGTGTAATATTTGGAACATTTTTTTAATGTGTCATTTAATGTAACAATCTATTTAATTTAAAGATGTGTTAAGACTTTTTTAGTTTGAAGAGATTTTTATTGTGTGGGTAATAATTATTTAGTTTACCAATCATTCTAATTATCATTCTCTTTTAATTGTCATATTCTTATTGGTTATAAGTTATAAGTGTTCAAACAAATATTCATAATGTTATAAGTGTTCAAACAAATATTCATAATGTTTATATTAAATTTAACATCCATTAAATATATGTTTTGCGCATTTGAAAATATTTCACGCCGCTGTAACCGCTACAGCCGACTACAGGCCACTACTGAGATGACCGCTGCCACTACGGCCATTTGAAACACTGGGTAATAGATTAAAGTAACTTTTCCTGGTTAATTCCATGCATCTTATTTAGCTTCAGGATTGACATACGCTAAGAGGGCTTCGCCGGACAACCTAAAGCGCTTAACATCTGCCATGATTTGGCCCCCCATTCCCCTGTAAAACTGAATGGCCTCCTCGTTCCAACCCACCACCAACCAATCGACGGTGCAGAAGCCGAGCGCGGCTGCCTTGGATGCGACGGCGGAGAAGAGCATTTTCCCAAGACCGATCCCCCGGTAACACTCCTTTACGTACAGATTCTCCATGAAGATACTCGGGCTTCGGAAGTAACCGGAATAGCTAGGATAAAAAAGAACATAACCGGCGACAACAACGCCGCCGCCGCCGTTGCCGTCTTCCTCCGGCGACAAGTACTTTTCGGATTCCTCGTCGTCCACGAATTCGAGGAGATCCACCGCCTTGAGAACCGGGCAAAAAACATTATGAGAAGAGGATCCTGCGAGGGGAGACCGGGAGACCTCGAGAAGGAGAGCCGTGGCGGAGTAGAACGGCGGCGGGCCGGAGGGGCTGGCGGCGTTGGAGCCGAAGAGGTTAGCGGAGATTGAGGTTTCGGTGGCGGTGAAGACTTGAGTGTAGTTATGGTAGGACGCCATTTGTTGCATGAGCTTGTGGAGGTGTGGCACGTCGGTTTTGGTCGGGAGCCGGACTCTGGCGTGCAAGCGGCGGCTGCCACTGTGCTCCGGCGGCTGCGAGAAGGATTGCATGGTGGCGATTGAATAGGAGCCATGCATGTCCGGCCGCCCTGGATACGTCATTAGTATGTACGAAGTACGTAGCTTAAATCCTAGTGGCTACTGGCTAGGTCTGATCATCTGATGTGAGGATCGAGGAAATATGGGTCAAAGAGTCCATAGATATACGGATTACGGAGTAGAAGTTTCCAGTCAACTGTGGAGGCCGGTCAAATTTGACAGTGAGTATTTGTGCGGTACACGTACGAACGAGTGAAGTGTCTTATCCAAGTAAGCAGTGCAATTAATTGAGTCATCTTCCACACTCACATTCAGCGGTCAAGGTGTGCGATGCGGTAGGCTATAGGACACGTTGACTCGTTTGCCATATTTTTGGGTCTAGTCGGGTGCTGTTTTGTTCGTCTTAATCTTATTATTTATTGTTTATTTTTATTTTATTCAGATCAGATTAGATAATATCAGATCAGAAAAATTCAGATCAGATCAGACCAGAAAGATTCAGATCAGAATCATTCTGATCAGATCAGAAAGATTCAGATCAGATCAGATCAGAAAAATTCAGATCAGATCAGATCAGAACTTAAAAAATTCAGATCAAAAACATTCAGATCAGGTGAAGAGAAAAGCTTCTTAGTTTATTCGAGTTGGCTATTAACCAACTCAAATGGGTTAGAGGGGAATTACACTACAAGATAAATGACATTTCTTAACATACATAAAATGGGTTAGGAAAAACCTTTCTTGACACCCATAGACATGTATTGGCAAATTTCTTTGCACTTTAGTAAACACATAATGTGTTATGGAGTAGCTTAATCATCAAACAAATTTTGTGTGACATGAAAGATTAAAGATGACACATAGCTGTCAACAAAAACCATGTTGGTTTATTTGAAGTCATAATAATTTTATTTTTAATTAATTATTCTATAGCATGCTTATATTAGTAATAAAAATGTGGGATAACAAATACTACTTTCATAGAGAAACTTACATATGGCTTCAAAATATTTGAAAACTTCAAAGAAGTAAAGTTTACAATTCAAAGCATGAAAAATTAGAACTTACAGCATAGAACTAAAGTTATTTCCAGAGAAACTAGACACTCCTTTCGTACTCAAACTTACACCATAGAAGTCCAAAAAAAACTTAAAGCTCACAGAGATGCAGAATGAAACTACATACTACGCGGAGTATAAAATGTCCCGCCCCATACCGCATCTAAGCGCGTGTACAACCGCCGTATGATCAAGCTAAGTAACATCACTCGCAAGTTAACCTCAGCTCGCTTAATCATACAAGGTGTTTGAATATATTGTTTTGTTGATGACAAACTACTAATGTCATTTTTGGTATATAAGTGATTGCAGGAAAGGAAGATAAGTCGTGCTTTGGAACAAGCCGTAGACCTGAACCCGGAACTATCCTACAACGGATATATATGTTGTTGACTAACCGTGCAGGTGGAACTAATACCGATCCATTTCTAGTTCCGTGATGTGGTTTAAATTAATGTTGTTTGCACCTACTCGATTCCCAATTAATGTGTCTTCCTTAATTATATGAGTTCTTATTTGAGTGGTATATTACTTTATTACTATATAAAAGTAATATGAATGGGTTTTTAAGATATACGTAATTTGCTTATTGAGTGGTGTACTACTTTATGGATAGTAATGTATGCTTGCATGGTATGTCTTTTGTGTGATATCTTTCCATACATGATTGCATGATTAGACATATAACTTTTGGAAAGTATCTTTTATATTAATGTAGCATTTGATCTTACTTTATGGAAAGGTGGCCGTATATTTACTTACCATACAAGTTGAATTGCTTATTTGCTTTCCCTGATTATTGAAATTTGAAATAATCTTTTTTTGAGTGGGTTGTTGACTTCTTGGAATAAAACGTTGAATACTTAATCATGTTAAGTGCTCTAAAAATATCTTGGGAGCAATAATTTTGGTTGTAAAGATATTAAAGGCAGCTCTCCAAGATGGAAAGCAATTCAAAATACAACTAGGCAAGGATCAACATTGATTTAAATGAGAAGAAGGCTCTAACGGATTTATTCAGAGAAGGCCTATATAATCGAAGTGGCTGGAGAGAAAAAGGTGTGCTTGACCAGAGAAATATTCAGAGACACACTCGAGAAAAATACGAAGTTCAAGGCACCTGAAACTACTCACTCGGAGTTCTAGATAGAGTTTCTTCTTTCCCTTCTTCATATTTTAATGGGGTGTTGAGAATTGGCTAAGAGTAGCCTCCTCGGGTTGGTTTGTGTGTGTGAGAGCTTTGTTGTAAAGCTGAGAGGCTCTCTACCCGCAAGGTAGAGTTGCATAACTCTTCCTAGAGAGGATAGAGTTGGGGTGGCTCAAGGGTAGACTAGGAGAGTTTCCCTTGTAATCATTCAAAAGGCTTTTTAGTGAAGTTGTTTAAAATTCCTCCGAGGGAGGTCGAGGTTTTTTAATCCCTTTGAGCCAAGGGATTTTTCCTCGTTAAATCCTTGTGCACTTTACTTTTCGCAATTCCCTTTACCCCGCACTAGAACTGGGCGAAAAACTGCCACGGTTCCACACACACACAATTCACCCCCCTCTTGTGTTGCTAACCGTTTTCATCACAAGGCGTTCATGAACATCGTTCATACTATACTCAGTAAGTAAACATACATAACAACATCACAATATAGATTGAATGAATAGCGAAAATATTCAATAGTCAATCATGGGCCACATATGGCAAAACGTGGACTCGCATGCCCAAAACAAATTATTCATTACAAAAATATCCATGAGCATAGTTTATAGTTTCAAACGGTAAAGGAAGCATGAAGCACATCTGATGAAACGGTTAGTAACACAAGAGTGGGGTGAATTGTGTGTGTGGAATCGTGGCAGTTTTTCGCCAAGTTCTATTGTGGGGTAATGGTAAAACAATGTAAATAAATGCACAAGGATTTAACGAGGAAAAATCTCTTGGCTCAAAGGGATTAAAAAATATTGACCTCACTCGGAGGAATTTTAACAACTTCACTAAAAACCTTTGAATGGTTACAAGAGACACTCTCATAGTCTACCCTTGAGTCACCCCAACTTTATCCTCTCTAGGAAGAGTTATGCTTCTCTACCTTGCGATTACAAAGCCTCTCAGCTTTACAACAAAGCTCTCACCATAGACTAACCAACCCGAGGATGCTACAGTTAGCCAATCCTCAAAACCCCATTACAACAAGAAGAAGGGAAGGTAGAAACTATATCTACAACTTTGTGTGAGCAGTTTCAGGTGCCTTGGACTTCGGTATTTGTTTTATGAGTATATCTCTCAATAGCTGTCTCGGTCAAGCACATTTCTTCTTCTTGATCTCAGCATATATAAGCTGCTTGGAACAAGTCCGTTGATGCTTTCTTTCCTTGGATGGTCGAGTTACCAAACGTGGGGCTTGCCTTGTTATCATTTGATTGTCCTTCCTTTTGAGTGTCATGGAATCATATATGATGGATAGTGTACCCGAGGGGTAGCTTATATGGGGGTTATTATGGGAATAACCTAGAGGGAAGTCAGAGCAACAAGCAAGAGAGAGAGAGAGGCAATTATATTAATGAACTCGAGATGTTCTGGTCCGGGATCCTTTACAAGAGGAATAGGGGCTGCTATTTATAGCAGCAATAAATGCGATGAGAGTACACGTGTCAGCAATCTAACGGCCGAGGGGTCACCTCATTTGGGTGGCACTGGCATTCGCATGTGCACCGCATTGAATGCGGTGGGTGGATGTGACGTCGCATTAAATGCGGTGGTTGCTTGTCTCCAAAGGGAATCTTCGATGATTGAGCTGTTGGCCGAGGGCTCCCCCACGGCCGAGAACTCTGTGTAGCCGAGGGCACTGTACAGCCGAAGGCTGCGCTGATGCCGAAGGCACGAAAGTGCCGAAGGCTCCGGTTTTCTGCCATTTTCTCCCAGTAGCTTTGTATGTTCAAATCTGGCTGCCCTGTGAGTTCTGGAGCCTTCGGCCATATTGCCGAAGGCTACTCCGGGCGCACCTTGGGCTCTTTTGAGCTTGGGCCGCTATGTTTTGGGCCTATTGTCCTTCTTAGGCTTGTTGGGCCTGTGCTAGAGTAGTAGGAGTCCGTGGGCCGGGGGTTCCCGGGCCATATACTCCATGAGGAGTCCCCCACTCCTTTTGCCGAAAGGTACTTGAGGGAAAATGAGTAATTGTGGTGATTCTCCCGAAGGCTTCCTCGTTTTGTAGTCCCCTTTAACCGGTCCCTTGGTCTTTGCTTTTGCCGAAGGCATTCCCTCAGTCCCCCACATGTCGAGGGCTTTCTGAGGGAAATGCAGATGTGTTGCTTGTATGTGTTGTGGTGAAGGTTGCTTTGTCATTGCAAGTGATTTGTGGAAATTTTGACATTTTCGTTTTTTCCGGGGGGTGTTGTCATAGTATGCACCCAAGGGGATTGTGTTGATATTTTCCTGCAGGTTACATGTGTTGATTTTGTAAAAGTCATCTTCGTTTATAGTTTCCCCGAGGGGTTTCCCAGTCCCCCACTCCTTTAGACCAAAGGCAAGTTCGGGCTGAATGAGTTTTGATGTTTGTGTATGTCCTCGAGGGGTGTCCGTGACTGAGGAGTGGCAACATTGATAAACCGAAGGCTTATGCTGCTGCTTGCTCGAAGGCATTTAGTCAAAATGGTCCACCGAAGGCTCTAGTAAGCGATAGTCGGAGGTTATCATCTGAGATTGCCTCAATGGTTTCCAAAATAGAGCCGTTGGAAAAGAGCCGTTGGAGGTGGGGTCCACGTGGCATGCTCCTGTTGGCTGAAGGCTGGCGGGTGCCGCCCATTGGCTGAGTAGGCAGTTTGTAATGATGGCCTTTTAACCCGAGGCCCAGTTTCGAGGTTAACCACGGTTGAGGGGCCTATAAATACCCCAAAGCCGGAGTCATTCTCCCCTGTGCGTTCATTGTGAAACGAAGCTCTGTCCTTTGTATTCTAGAGAGAGAAAGTTCAATTCGATCAAAAGCGATCTACCGAGATTAGTTCTTCCTCCGTTCTTGGGTTCCTTAGCATTTTTTCTCTTTTGGCCTTAGATTTAGTGTTAGTGAGTTTAGGAAATTCCC